AGCAAGTGAGAGGCATCGGCGCAGAGAAAACCTAGCACACCACATGCATACACGATTGCATGGCTACATGTACTCAAACAAGCAAGCGATTAAACAGCCAGGACAAAGCAAAAACGACTTCCACCCTTCAGTCACACACACACACACACACACAGATGGTAGACGTCATGTGCGCACCAGAGGTGTTGGAGAGGAACGAGGGCGTGCTTAACAATGCCAGTGTCCGTTCGCCATGAGACGCGCGCCTCTTGCGAGGAGGAGTAGGAGGAGGAGGAGGAGGACAGGCGTGATGTTGACGACACGGAGTGAATGCGGACGATGCAGTAAGGGCGAAGATCGTCGTGCACAGCACCAACACTGCCGGTGTAGATGGCCAGCTCCTGCAAGGTGATGTGCACAGGAAGGGAGAGCAGGTGCTGGAGTGAGAACCTGTGGTGGGGTGAGCGACAACGCAGCCGTTCAACGGCTCGGAAGCACTCATGTGCGCATAGAATGTCGACAAGGACAGCACCAGCGAGGGCTGCCGCACACAAGCAACCATCACAGGCATGCACACGCATGCACACGCATACACCCATCACGTACGGGCATGCACACAAACGAGCAAGAAACACATGCACAAAATCACACAAGCAAACACATGTGGATGCATGTCAAGTGGTCACGCGCGCTTCATCACCTGAGTCACAGGCGCTGGCGTTGTGCTTTTCATGATGCATCCGCCCAGAACATGCAGCTGCTCTGACTTCCGCGGAGCAAACGATGCCACGTGCCAGTCCCACAAGAACACGATTGCACGCTCGAGCGTCTCACGGGCGAGTGGTGGCCCATCGTACACCAGCATGTGCTGGCAATCTGCCAACAAGACTATGCTGTTTGAGGAACCGTGGCACTGCTGATGGGCGTTGTGGTGGTGGTGGTGGTATTGGTGACGGTTACCGGTGCCTTCTGGCTGCATGCGCATTGGCAGTTCAGACGTTGTCAACGATCCAACGTGTGATTGTTGTTGTTGTTGTTGTTGTTGTTGTTGTTGTTGTTGTTGTTGTTGTTGTTGTTGTTGTTGTTGTTGTTGTTGTTGTTGTTGTTGTTGTTGTTGTTGTTGTTGTTGTTGTTGTTGTTGTTGTTGTTGTTGTTGTTGCGGCCACGTGTCGTCCTTGAACCGGTCTGCATAGGCCCTCGTGATGTGCCCGCGGTGCGGCATGGCAGTGCACAGCGCATCGCCTGGCCCAATGGGCGGGCGACACCACACGTCATGCTGCCATTGCTGCTGTACACCCACGACGCCTCGCCACAGCTCTCGGCCGCATTCCACCAGCACAGCAGAGTGGCAGTGCCTGCGCTTGCACCGCTGTCCCTCCTCCCCCTGTCTCGGACCGCCACACGCCCACGTCGCCACCACGCCGTCAACGATGACGGTGAAACCGCTTCCAACAACACGCAGGTCCCCCACACTGTTCAACCGGCCGTCCAACAATGCAACCTGCCGGTCAATCCTTCGCATGTGCACGGGTGACACCCTTTTCTGACAGCGGTGGCTCCACGCACATGCGAGCACAGCCCCTGATGCGGTGTGCACGATGGCGCCGTGTGGCGCGCCTTCCATGTGCACAACACTCCCTGCACCCACGGGCAGGGCCCACTGTCGGGTGTGCGGCGGTGCTGGCTGCAGTTGAAGGGACAACCAACGTTGCTTGGATGATGAGGACGACGATGGCGACGGCGCAGACGATGTTGATGATGATGATGATGATGATGATGATGATGATGATGATGATGATGATGATGATGATGATGATGATGATGATGATGATGATGATGATGATGATGAAGAAGATGCCGATGAAGACGCAGCAGAAGCAAAAGCAGAAGGAGAAGAGACTGAAGCAGGTGACGCTGGTTTGAGGAGCGGGTAAAGGGTTCTGCGCAGGAACCATTCAAACCTGTCCTGCCGCCAGCGGTGCGAGCCCGGTGTTTCCTCCAAGCATGCGGAGATGTCGTCTGGGTTGTGGAACCGCGACAACAGGCGGTGCAGCCGCTGCTGGTGGGCGGCGTTTATCGCGTCTTGGCCGCGGTTACCGCCACTGCTGAAGAGGCCGAGTGGATGCTGCAGGTGCACAGGCGCCAGGTACGACGGCTGCCTTGTCGTGTCGCCATCATCGTCTGACGAGAAATTGGCGGGGCCAGCATCGTCATCACAACGGCCGTCTCCACCCCCTTTTCCTTCATCGTCATGGTGGTCATCGAGGTCATCACCACCACCAGCATCATGGTCATCATCCACATCATCATCATGGTCATCATCAACATCATCATGCCCCGTTGCGGTCGTGCCGTTCCATTGGCCATCACACGATTGTTCCTGGGTAGCACCCACCTTCGCTCCAACGCGCGTCACGTGAACGCCACGATGAACGTGAATGCCGGCATCCACCATCGCCACCGCTTCGCCTGCCAGCCGCAGCAGTGCTTGGCCCCATGTTTGGTCAACCGCTCGCTCTGCTGGTGAACGTGCTCCGCGACTGGTCATCGTGGCGGTTGACGGTGCCGGTGATGATGGCGGAGGCAGCACGAATGGAGACGATTCTGTTGCTGCTGTTGCCGTTGCTGCTGTTGATGATGATGATGATGTTGTTGGTGGTGGTGCGGTTGTGGTTGTCGCTGTTGTCGCTGATGTTGTTGTCGTTGCTGCTGTTGCTGCTGTTGCTGATGGTGATGATGGTGGTGTTGCATACTCGCTGGTGACACTGCAGATGCGAGTGAGGAGGGCCGCCAAACGCTGGTTGTGGTTGATGATGTGTGCATCATGAGCGTCTCGATGCCGGCGGCCAAAGAGGCGGCGGCACAGCGGTGCACTTCTCCGCGCTCGTGACAACGCCTGTGCTAATGCGATGAGCGCATTGCACCTGCTGCCAGCCTTCCCCTCACCGCCACTACTTGCGACATCATCGCCATCATTGTCGCTGCCACTACCTTCGACATTGTCACGACGCTGACTGTCATCGCCAGCATCGCTCGCTCCATTGGCGCTGCCGTGCGCAGCGCACCAGGAAGGAAACGTAAAGCGCACGGCGGTGGGCTGCTGCTGGGGCGAACATGTGTTGAGTTGCACGACCGCTGGGACAGGAGGAGGGGCGGGCGTATCAGCACGTGCACGCGCATGCACGCGGTCCAAGACGACGAGAAGCGCGGCCTCCAGCTCACTGACCTCGGCTGCCACGGGGTCGCTCGGCGTGCGTGAGTGCTGTGCCGGCACCCGATGCATGTGGCGGTGCGGCGTGGCCCGCGCAGACGATACACACAGGCTGTGCAGGAAGGCCAGGTGGGACGCCAGCAGCAGCGGCAACTGACGCACTTGTGCCGGTGACGAGGCGGCGGCCGCAGTGGCGGCGGTGACGGGGATGGAGCCGCAGCGCACGGTCAGCGGGGTGGAAGGGGCAATTGCAACCTTGCCTGCATCAACCCACAGCCGCTGGCTGTGGTGTATTCCGAATGCCGGCAGAGCAGCACTTTGCACACCAAGGTTTGCAGGGCTGTGCAGCTGGATCAAGCCACCGCGCTGGGCGCGAAGGGGTAGGGGTGTGCCTGCAGGCACGTGCATGAGGACGTCATCCTGGCGTTCTGATGCATACAGAGCGGCGGCTGAGGTTGTGCACCCTTCTGCCAGCACAGGTCTGGGATGAGGTTGAAAGCGCACATAGCACTCCAGGAGTTGTTGCGCCGTCCTCCGTTTCTGCCCTCGCTGCTCAGGATAGTCCATGCAGACAGCGGTAAGGAGGAGCGAAATAGTAGGAGGTGAGGTGCTCAAGGTTGATAGTGCATGCAGCCTTGGGGGCAAAATGAACAGCGATACTGGCAGGGTGTACACAGGGAGAAGAGGAAGCAGCACAGAGGGACAGATGTACAGAGACGCAGAAAGTTACACACACGCGTACACCCACGTACACACGCACTTACACACACACACACACAAACTTACACACACATTTACACACACACACGCACACAAACTTACACACCTGGGATTGAACGTGCAAGGACAGCGACGCAACGTGCATGGGACGGGTAGGCTGCGCGGAATGGAAAGAACCTGTGGCCAACACAGCCACTACATCCACGCACAACTGTTGTCTAGGCTGGAGGGTTCCTTGGGAAGGATGTAAATGGACATTGGTGGCATATACGCGCGTTGCATCGATGTGAAGCTCCCAAGGGCACGCTACGTCGCACGGATTGGACAAGGTGATTGTGCCGTACGCAGTTGAGGTGCTGCCAAAGAACTCCAAGTCCACGTCGTGTGCACGACGGCAGCGTAAACTAGCACAGCCATCTTCTCTCTCGTCATCACGTTGCACCCACACAAAGTGGTTGATGACGACACCACCGCTTGCACCTGTTGCACCTGCCTCGTCATCGTCATCAGCAGCGGGAGGCAGGCCAGGTCCGACCACTGCCACGTGTTTGCCAAAGTTTGCTGATTGGGACAAGTCACACAGCACAGACGACTGCTCCACCTGTTGTGGCTGCTGGACGGCAAGGTCCACGCCCGCGTGGAACGGTGAGATGACCCTCACCACTGTCGCCATCCCTGCCGCGGTTGCTGGCTGGTGGTGTGCAGGTTGCTGTGCTGCTTGCTTGTTGGCGGTTGCGGGAATTGCAGCAGCGTCGGTCAAGACGGGCTGTTTGCGACAGCAAGAAATTAATTGATTTGCGCTGACTCGGCATATTTTTGGGCAGAGCCGGCCCGGGCAAAGTTTGAAAGCAAGAAGGCAAACTGCTGCACACACACACACACACACACACACACACACACACACACACACACACACACACACACACACACACACACACACACACACACACACACACACACACACACACACGCACACACACACACACACACGCCACGATGATGGACGACGGGCATGATGGCAGTGTCGACAATGCTTGTCATCGCTGCGATGGCAGCCGAGAGGCTGAGACAGAGGCTGAAGCTGTCGACCATAACAATGCAGACAAACAGCACGTCGCCGAAACGCCACAGCAACACGATGGCAACGGCAACAGCGAGAACAGCAGCAGCAGCAGCAGCAATGTGCGGTCGCGGGTTGCACTTGCAGAATGCATGCGCACAGTCCAAGTGGTTGCAGCCGAGTTGAGAGAGATGGCCAAGACGTATGCAACCGTATGCAGTACACAGCTTTCAGACAGCATTGGCAGGCTCATTGATGCATACGAGCACATGACAGAGGAGAGGGCGCTGCAGGGTGCCATTGTTGCACCCATTCGCACCTTGTCTGCGCTCTCGTCAACGCTGGCTCCACAGGACCGCAGAATCCTCAGTGCCATTCTTTATGTGGCATCCCGCGCAACGCGCGAGGCTGAATACGCCATTCACCGAAGCGAGCCCGTGTCGAGCTCCACAGGTAGCGCAGATCCGCGTGCACGTACCACCATTGCCATGACACTCGCAACCACACCATACGCGACGCCAGCTCGAGCCACCATGGTGCGATCCAGGACAACTGGAGCGTATCCGAGTGTGCTGTCCCCTCTTGCCGGTATTGCAGACACGCTGCTGCTGCCTGCGGCAGCCTCAAGACGGACTGCACCACCATCTCCCTTTGTGAACGACACCAAACAGCAACAACAACAACAACAACAACAACAACAACAACAACAACAACAGCAACAACAACAACAACAACAACAACAACAACAACAACAACAACAACAACAACAACAACAACAACAACAACAAGTGCGTGTGCATCAGCAGGAGCACGCAAAGGAAGTATCATCGTCGCTGTCATCTCCTGGAGACAGCGCACTTGGTGGCGCCCAACGTCTCCACGAGCTCCTTGCTGAAGGTGAACATCGCACGCCGTCGCCCGCCAATGCAACGAGGCACCACGACACAGCACATCAAGTGCAGGCATGCAAAGAAGAACATGCAACACACACGACCGCAGCACCCAAGGCAACGCCATCAACAGCCGCGACTTTTGCGACGGAGCAGGAGGCAACCGAGGACGTGAACCTGCTGGAGGAGAGCTTTGCATCTGACCTGAACGTGAGCGGGTGCAGCGGTTCGGCCTTGCGCGACGTGTCCAATTCGCCTTTCGTTGTGCGGTCAAAGTCTGCTGCTGTGGGTGCCGTCAAGACACCACGCACTGCATCCGGCAATAAGAGGCATTCTCGCGTGCACACAGGCACACCCGCCATGTTTTCGCGCCAAGATGCCATCGAGGGCACGCCCGAATCCGTCGAGAGGACATGGCTTCACGCCGCTGCAAGGTTAGCAAAAGAAGGCTGCACATGTGTGGGTCTGTATTTGCGTGTGTGTGTGTGAAGATGCGCGCGTGTGCGTGTGTGTGTGCCTGTGTGGTTGTTGGCAGTGTTCTGCTGCATAAACATTACTCGTTCTTGAACGCCCTCGCTCATCCGCGACACACACACACGCACACACGCACAACAGAGGAATTTCGCAGGAGGAGCCGAGGATGCCCACGCTGCAAGACTTTGACAAGCTGAAGGATATCTCACGGGGCGCATTTGGAAGCGTGTTTCTGGTGCGCAAGCGCACCACACGTGACGTGTATGCAATGAAGGTGATGACAAACCGCACGCTGCAGCAGAAGAACATGCTTGAACAAGTTATCAGCGAGCGCGACGCCATGGCGCTATCCACCAGCCCCTATGTGGTCAACCTGTTCTACTCGTTCCGCTCTCCCTACGGCGTGCACCTGGTGATGGAGTACATGATTGGCGGCGACCTTGGCCAGCTCCTGTACAACCTGGAGGCCTTTGAGGAGCACGAGGCGCGCTTCTACCTTGCCGAGATTGTGCAGGCGCTCGCCTTCCTGCACCAGCACGGCATCATCCACCGCGACCTCAAGCCAGACAACATCCTCATCTCCGCCACGGGCCACATCAAGCTGAGCGACTTTGGGCTGTCGAAGGTCCTCAAGCACGCCTCATCTTCGTCGTCGGTTGAGCGCAGGGCGTCGTCATCGTCATCTCTCTCCTCTTCTTCTCCATCATCATCATCATCATCATCATCATCATCATCATCATCATCATCATCATCATCATCATCATCATCATCATCATCATCATCATCATCATCGTCGTCATCATCATCATCATCATCATCGGCCATGGGCACGGGTGGGGTGGCAAGCAGGACCAGCAGCGTGGGCTCCTCCGCAGCAACGTCCACCAGCACCAGCGCAGGCAGCAGCGCAACCGCCAGCAACAGCAGCAGCAGTAATGGCACGCCAGCCTCCGCAGCACACGCCAGTGCCAGGGCGAAGGAAGTCGGCGGCGACCGTGGTGTTGATGATACCAGTAGGACCACCGCGGCAAGCACCTCCGCTGACACGATCACCGCTGGTGCCTGTGCAATGTACGGCAGCCCCTTTCTAGGGCACTCTGTGCTTGGGGTGGCCTGGGCAAGCGCCCCTCTCCCTGCTATCGACGAAGGCGATGAACACGCAGACTCGCACCACGCCGGTGACGGCAGGAACGTCAACACAACAACAACGCCTACACGCCACACACCCTCCAAGAATATGGGACAAGGCAACCCTGGACGGCAGCGAAGACGTGGCGGTGGCAGTTGCGGTGACGAGGAGAATGCAGGGACGAGGGGTCGTGAAACGGCGCCACCACCATCGTCAACGCGCCACGCACGCCACCGTCGCCGTCGCCGCATGGGCACCCCGCAGCAGCAACGGCAGCAGCAGCGGTCGTGGTTGGGCGATGCGGCATTGAAGCGCACGCCCGGCCAGCAGCTGTCGCTCCGGTCCGACCTGACCAAAGTGCCCTCCTCCTTCAGCAAGCGGAAGCTGCTGCTGCGGCTGCAGGCACGAGAGCGCAGCCCTGCGAGCGTGCTTGACGAAGCCGATGAGTCGCCCATGTCTGCTGCGCTGGTTGGGCGACACGCGACCAGCAGCCCCAGCCCGCGCATGGACGTGAAGCGGGCAAAGCGGCGTGGCGTGGTGTGGCCGGGCGGCGTCGCTTCCCCGCCATACTTGTCGCCGTCCACACTGCGGTCACAATCGCGCGGGCTGTTTGCACACGTGGACGCATCCTCCCCAGCCGTCAGCTCCGGTGATGAGGCCGACAGCCGCGCTGCATGCAGTGAACAACAACAACAACAACAACAACAACAACAACAACAACAACAACAACAACAACAACAACAACAACAACAACAACAACAACAACAACAACAACAACAACAACAAACGAGGCAACAGCACCAGATTGTGCAGGCAGTACTCTCGGGTGGTGGCAATCACGATGAATGCTGTGGTACAGTTGTAGCTACACCGGGACAAACACCATCAGCAGGGGTGAGTGCGGATTTGCATACGCCTGCAGGGCACGTTGCACGGTGCGAGAGCGTACACACACCGCGACGTGGCAGGCCAGATGGATTCGCAGTGTCACAGGAGGGGTGGATGGGCGCGCCGGTTCAGGGCGGCAGCAGCACCTGCACAACCGATCAAGTGCAGCAAACACGCCACCAGCAGGGCAAGCATGAAGAGGAGACGCAGCAGCAGCAGCAGCAGCAACAGCACGAGCAACGTGAAGATGGGGTGGTCCAAGATCAGGAACACGCGCACAGCACAGGCCCTGCAGTGCAGGTGGAAGGGACGGGCGTGAAAGGCACGCCAGACTATGTTGCGCCTGAGCTACTGCTGGGAACAGGACACGACCAAGCTGCGGATGTGTGGTCGCTCGGGGTGATTGCGTACGAGCTTGTGGCCGGACTGCCGCCCTTCAACGACGACACGAAGGAGCTGGTGTTCCAGCGCATCTTGCATCACGACTTTGAGCGGCTCGACGAGTACCTGAGTCCGGACCTGACGTCCTTCATTGACGCGTGTCTTGCTTACGACCCCAACCAGCGGTCGACAGCGAGCGCGCTGAAGAAGCACGCCTTCTTTGCCGGCATTGATTTTGCCGCGCTGCTGGATACAGAGCCGCCGTTTGTACCGCGGCCGGAGAACGAAACAGACACGGCGTACTTTGAAGGGCGTGACCGCGGGCGCCTGAGTGTGATCCCAGAGATGGAACACATCAGTGATCGGGAGCGGAGACAGGCAGATGTGTTGCTGCTCGACGACATGAACAGCCCACTTCCTGCGGCTGCGGCATCATGACGATGGTCTTTGCTTCTTGCGTGTGTGCGTGTGCGTGTGTGTGTGTGTGTGTGTGTGTGTGTGTGTGTGTGTGTGTGTGTGTGTGTGTGTGTGTGTGTGTGTGTCCTTGTTTCCGTGCGCGTATCTGTCTGTCTCTCTATCGAACTGTCCCTGTGTCTCTGTTTGCGTGTGCGTGTGGGCGTTGATGAATTGCCTGCCTGTTCTTTGTGATTGTGTGCATTCTTGTTTTATGGGTTCGCACGCGGGTGGCAATTAGTAGACGACGCCACACAACGCCCCTCCATGAGAAAAAAAAATAACACTTGCAATATCGAATATCAACCTGAACAGACATGGTATACAAATACATGTGTGCGTGTGCGTGTGTCTGTTACTCTGATGGGAGGGCAGATGGGAGCAGCTCATCGTCCATGGAAGGAAACGGTGGGAAATCACCTGACGGGGTGGGAAGATAATATGTATGAGAGTGCTGCTGCTGATGATGCTCTGCCGCTGCCTTTGAGGCAGAGGTCGTATGAACAACATCCGTTTCAAATTCGGTTGGTGGTGGCAGCTCTGCGTTGCGCAACAGGTCATCCAGTGACATGGGCAACCTGGTGTTGGAAAGTGGGAGCGGGCGCATGCGCGGGCAATCGCAAAGAACAACAGCACACAACATGTGAGCGATGGTCACATCATGCAAGTGGCAGCGGACACGCTCGCGCACAAATGTACTCGCCCACGATCAACATGCACACATCCACACATCCACACATCTGCACATTTGCTTCCCCCCCCCCCCAAAAAAAAAAACATACCTGTTGCTGAGCAAGTCATCATTGCTGCTGCTCTTCGATGCCTTTGATGGGGAAGAAAGGAGGAAATCGGCCACGGTAATGGCCGGGCCTGCCGGTGGGACACCTTTGCTTGCAGGCAACGGGTCCAGATGGGGCAGTCCAAGGCTGTCTTCCGTGGCGGCGTTCCAATGATCCATACCCGACGGCAGTGATTGGAAATCGAACATCGACCCTGTATAATCACAAGCAAGCAACGACAGCACGCAGGTGAGCGCGATGCACAACAAAAAATTGTGCTCTTCGAACAGAACAGTGCCTGTGATGTGAAATAGCAAACAGCAACGCAAAAATGGCAGCGAATAGCTGCGACGACACCCACTGGCACGGACAACACCAGCTTGAACCAACAACAGCACTGTCATGACTAGCACACCATGGAATAGCATGTCAACATTTTTCAGTGTATTCCAAGGAAACCCACCCTGGTGCTGTTGGGGTGTGTCGTCATCAGCCGCGCTGCTGAGCGCCGTGCCTGAGCCCGAGCTGAGCGCCGTCTTTGCCGTGGTGTTGCTCGCGCGGGATTTGGGCTTGCGGGACCGGCGCGTCGTTTTGGCGCGTTTTTTCGTCGTCGATGCACTTGCCAGCGCCGCTGTGGTTGACGATGCTGTCGTCGTGGTCATGGCTGTGGAGGGGGAGGACGCTGCTGCTGCTGTCGCTGCTGTTGTTGTTGCTGGTGCTGCTGTGGGCGGGCGAAGGGTGAGCGAGAATTCGCGCAGCTCCCGGCGCTCAAGCAAGAACAAGGCGTACTCGTCGAGAAACAGCTTCACCAGATGAAAGGAGCCTGTGCAGCAAGGCGAGAGAAAACGAAACGACGTGGAAATGGTGCGTCAAGAAGCTGCAGGGGAGGATAAATATACAGAGACACGCATGCAGCGAACTAAAACATGGTGTGGACAATTACGCCACACACACACACACACACACACACGCACATACATGCACGCACGCACACGTACTGAAGCTGGCGGCGTTGCGAATGCGCAGTTCACGCAAACAGAGGGAGCTGTACAAGTTCCAGACAAGATACAGGTGGCGTCCAGCAGCATGCCCGCTTCCACGTGCCTGCAAGCACACGAACGTGTGTACACACACACCATTAGAGACCACGAACAATGCTAAACTCATGCTGCCCACTCGACACACACACACACACACACTCTCTCTCACACACACACACACACACACACACACGCACGCACACACGCACGCACACACTCCCTCTCTCTTTCTCTTTCTTTCTCTCTCTCTCTCTCTCTCTCTCTCTCTCTCTCTCTCTCTCTCCTCTAGATTCTCACCGGTGGCGGAATGCACTTGTCCATCAGCCTGCAGAACCATGTTGCCAGCGCATCGACCGTGACCGCGGGACCAGCAAACAGCTGGACAAGACTCCGGCGAGCTGCACACGCACACACGCACACACACGCACACACACACACACACACAAGCGAGCGCAACACACACACACATACACACACACACACAAGCGAGCGCAACACACACACAAGCGAGCGCAACACATGACAACGAACAAAACAAAACAACAAATACAAGCCATGCAGGTGTTATGGGGCGTGAACCAACTGGCAGTGGAACGAACACGAGTCAGTCTCTGCGTTTGGCGTGGCTCACAGCACCACAGTACAGCACATAACAATCCAAGACGCATAACTTTGTGTGTGTGTGTGTGTGCAAACCTTGGCGGACACCATCGGGTGGACCGTTCTTGCACATGAGATTGACGTGAGCCTCGACCCTGTTAGTTGCAGTATTTGTTGAAGCGTGTGAATTGCGCATACAGCGTGATATTTGCGTCACATCACACCAGAACAGCGCAGCACAACAATGCGTGCTGGTTCTTCCACTTTGCACATGTGCACACACATACAGATACGCACACACATGCACACACATGCACACACATGCACATGGGGACACACGCGTTCACACGCACACACGCACACACGCACACACGCACACACGCACACACGCACACACGCACACACGCACACACGCACACGTGCACATCACATCAGACACAACCCCAAACATACGCTGAAAAGTCGATGCGGCTGAGGTCACGATGCATTTTCGTGTACATGTTGCCGTCTTGCAAGACCCCGAAGGTCGCTTGCGCAATATGATTCAGGGAAGTCTGGCGCAGTAGCCCATCAGCCAGCATGGTGCTGGCGCGCATGAACAACTTGCGGAAATGTGGAGGTAAAGTTGCTGCTTCATCCAACTGCAAGCGCACAATGTTTGCACAGACAAAGTTAGGAAAAGCTGTGAGGGCACGTTTGTGGGGGTGCATCGTGCTCTTGGGTGCGTGCGTGCGTTTTGTGTGTCGTGTGCGTGTTTGTGTGTTGTGTGTCGTGTGCGTGCATGCAGGCACAGCAATGAACCAGGCTCAAGTGCATGGTCAAATGTGGCACGTCCATACAAACCTTGTTGAGCTGCTCTTTCCAGGTGTGTGCAAATACACGAATGTCTCTGATGGCATCAGCCGACATTGGTGCAAGCACATTTGGAACAAGACCTGACATGCAAGCAGAGAACGAGGACATCGTGCACAAAGATGGGGGGGCCGACATTAGTTCGCAGAAGCAGCATCATACCCAGTATCAGGCAAGTGCTCATAGCAGACTGCAACGTCACACAACTCCAGCGTCGAATTATCACACAAATTACGCCCCGTTATACACGTGCTAGCTAGCACACAGGTGCAACATGCGCACAGACAGAAGCGCACGGGCACGGACCGTGGAAGAGCGCATCAAAGAGAACTTGTGTGCAGCTGGCGAAAAGCTTGGCAACATCCTCGTGTGCGAGCTGCTGCAACTTTGGTGGCAACAGGTCGTGCCAAAACTTGAAGAAGACTTCCTGCCCCTGAACACAACCAAGCAACCAGCAGCAATAGCAACCCGCCAAGAACAGGCAAGATGTGCAATGTGCAACGCGAATGAGGTCCACTGCGAGTGTGCTTGAATGTCTCCACCTGCTCTTCCCATGCCCAACACCCACACTCACAACACATGCATCATAGAAAGCACCAATGGATAGAAAGCACGGAGTCTCGCACGCGTACGCACTCGTTATGCCCATGATCGAACAACAGCATGACAGGAGTACGTACAATCGATCCGTTGTTTGAGAGCACAAGCGACAGCACGGCCTTGCAGGTTTGTCGAAGCGACTTGATTGTGTCGGTGAGCAGACGCATGTCCAAGCCCAGAGTTGCTAGCCGTGATGATGGTCTCGGAAATGGCGGCAGCCGAAATGGCATCGCAGAATCGCCGCTTCTACTGCCAGAGCCACCACCTCGACCACATTCGCCAGTGCCATCATCGCCGCCGTCGTCCTCATCGTCGTCAGCCGCGAGAGCACTGGCTGGCCGCAATGTCGGAGTGGCCAGAATCGCTGCATGTGAGCAAGCAGCATGATCCTTGTCTTCAGCGCCATCGCCGTCGCCGCTGCCGCCGACATCAGCCATTGGGTTAACAGGGCGTACGCCGTGCGCACTGCCACTGCCACCGTGTGGTGCTGGCGAAGCAGGCACGCTACCACGGCCGTTGCGTCTCTGGTACCCTTTCTTCGGTGTTCGGCGGGACGGGTGCTGTGGTTGCTGTGAGTGCGGTTGTGACAGGTCTTGCTGCCGGCCCTCCTTTGCCCGTTTCGTTGCAGGAGCAGCCGCGTGTTCAACTGCACCACCGCGCAACGTGGGAACGCTTCTCGCAAAGACGCCCTGGCTGTCGCGCACAACAGGACGAGCAGACCCCTGCTGTACCGCCGACATTGCACTCTCCGCCATCTCCTGCCCTGCCCCGGCAACTGACGCTGGCACTGCTGGCTCACGTGCGGCGTCTGCTGTGTCAAGGGCTGTTTCATACGGCGCTGGCGGGGAGAAAGCAAACGAGCCCGAAAACGGCGTGGACCAGGCATGCATTGGCGAGGAATGCTGCTGCTGGTTGTGCTGCTGGTTGTACTGCTGGTTGTGCTGCTGGTCGTGCTGGTGGTGTCGGTGGTGTGGGTCTGTGGAAGACATGGCGCTCCACTGGTGCGGGCGTGGCAGTTGTGGAGGTGAGGCGAGCTCGTGCAGCATTGGGCCGTGCGCCTGACGTGGCGCTGCCTCGGTCGAAGACGAGAGAGAAAACGGCTCCGCATCCAACGTACGCTGATGATGACGATAAGGCTGCTGATGTACGTGCATCACGCCTGCTGGCGTGGTGGGGCCTGTCATGGCGGGGTGGGCAGGCAGTGGTGCAGGGGCTGTGCCCTGAGACAACAGCTCAGCGTGATGCGCCTGCATCGGGTGCTCGCGGGTATGGGGAGGACTGACGCCACGTAGCCTGTCGTTGTGAGCGTGTTGCGGCAAGAGCTGCGGCGTTGTTGTAGGTGTTGAATCGCTTGCAGATGAGTGCGATGGCTGCAGGTGTTGCTGTTGCTGCTGGTGCTGCTGCTGTTGTTGTGGTTGCTGCTGCTGGTGCTGCTGTTGCTGTCGGTTAACACCCGGTGTGTTCGCATTTGTCGATGCCAGTTGGTTGGCAGGTGCTGTGGCTGCAAATCGGGACGATGGGCGAATGCCCAGCCCAACATAGTGGTACTTGGACTGCATATCGGGCAATACGGCGAGTGAGGGTGAGTGAGGGTGAGTGAGGGTGAGTGAGGGTGAGTGAGGGTGAGTGAGGGTGAGTGAGGGTGGATGTTTGGGAAGGGGGGGGGGGTGCAGATGGGGAGGAGAAGGAACGACAACACACCCAAGCAACCAAATTGCGCGCGAGTGTGTGTGTGTGTGTGTGTGTGTGTGTGTGTGTGTGTGTGTGTGCGTGTTTGTGCGTGTTTGTGTGTGGGTGTGAACAATGAGCCGGCCGGTGTGGGCGTGGTGGAGTACATTGTGACGTACCTGGCCACGGGTGCCGAGGCGACGCGTGCGAAGCATGGGAAACTCTTGGCGAATCATCTTGCCAAAGCTGCGATGTGAACATTGGTGGTGAGCAGCACAAAACATCGAATCATCAGCTGACACCAACACACCAGCACACAAACGCATCCACAAACACCGACAACAGTAATAACACCCACAAGAAGCAGCCGTGTAAGAACAACAGCATACACGCACACAGAGACAAGAACACAGATATAAACGTCACCCCGTACGGCACTGCACCACATTCACACACACACACACATCGTGCACGACGATGCACACCTTGCGGCGTTCAGAGGGCTCATGGATGCCTCTTTGCACAGCGTGCAGTAGTGCTCGTAGAAGAGACTTCGCGGCACGGAGACACCCTCCGCTGGGTTGTAATGCTCGTTCAACCTGTGAAGCCGCGCGAGTGTGACAGCACGCCATGAGTAAAGAGTGAGTGTGTGTGTGTGTGTTTATGTGTGTGTGTGTGTTTATGTGTGTGTGTGTTTGTGTGTGTGTGTGTTTATGTGTGTATGTATGAATGTGTATGTGTGTGCATGTGCGTGTGCGTGCGCAAGTGTGTGAGGAAGGGCATGACAAACATGACAGAAATGAACGGACCACTGCTTGATAATGGGAGTCTGCCGGTGTTTTTCGGAACGCAAACGTCGCTTCCTCCCTGTGTAAAGGTCAGCGGGTATTGAAGAGGGTGAGAATCATCTTCAGAGCAACTTATGAGCCACGAGCACGTACAGGGCAGACACACATGCACCTTCACACACACACACACACACACACACACACACACACACACAAAAGCATACACCTTCGCACACACACATCGACACACACACACACATACACACACAGACACATCGATGCACACACGTGGTCGAGGCTTCTTGACGGGCGAGTCTCGGGATGAGGCGGAGCCATGAGTTGGAGGTGCACGAGAGCCAGCGCTGCCTGGCTGCTGCTGTTGTGGCTGCCGCTGTGGGTGCGGCAACAACGGCGTGGGGCCTGGTTGTGCCGAGAGAGACGGGGAGTAATCATCAGGAAAGAACGTCTGGGCGCGAGCAGGAGGAGGCTGCTGCCGCGGCTGTGACAGGTGTGACGGCTGAGATGAGGGGTACCGGTGCATTTCATGGGGCTGTTGGGCATCGCGCATGTGAGATGGGGTCTGTCGTGTGGGCGCTGCGGGTGCCGCTGTGAACGACGCATGTGAGTGTGAGGCATGCCTTGAAGGGGAGGCTGCTGCTGTTGACGACAGCAAGTGGCGTGGGACCGGCGAGGTGTAGTCGTAATCGAAGATGAACCGCTTTGTCATTTCGTACTGCGGCACCGTCCGTGTAACGCCAAGGTAAGGGTTGTCCTTCGACACAACAAATGCCTCCGTCTCCACGTTGTCCTCGTCACTGCCACGATGCAACGATGGCGCAGCGAGGGGTGCCCGCTTGGGCTCTCGTCCGTCGTCATCATTACTGAAGTCGTGCTCGCGTGGGTGGCGCAGGCGCCCGCTGGCCGTGTGCTGATACTGGTGCCGGTGTTGATGGGCCGGCTTCGTCTCAGATGAGGCGAGGCGGGCGTGGCTGGTGCGGTGGGTGTCGAAATGCGCCACAGTTGCCATCTCAAGCTGACCATGGCGTGAAGGGGTGCGTGGCGATTGCTGTTGGCGATGGCGCAAGTGCTGCTGCTGTTGCTGCTGTTGCTGCTGTTGGTCGTGGTGGTGGTGACGCGGCGAGGACACCGGTAGACTACCCCGCTGCTGCTGGCTGCGATGGTATACGTTCGGGTGCTGCTGCTGCTGCTGCTGCCGTGACGGCGATGGAAGAGGAGGCCACGAGTACCTTTCACGACCGCGTGCTTGTGATGGTGGCGACAACAACGGAGACATTCCTTCTGCCGCTCCTGGCCTGACTGTTGCTCTTGTTTCAGCTGCTGTTTGTGTTGTTCTTGCTGGGAGCGGGCGATGTGTGTGCTGTGCATCGTGTGGAAGCGGCTGGCGCTCGTCTTGGCGCTGCTGTGGATGTTGAGCGGAGGGGTGCTTGGCTGCTTGCCTGCTGCGCGGAGAACGGCGGTCTTGTTTGAAGAAGGGAGATGATGACGAAGAGGGTGACGGCGATGGTGAAGGGAAAGTGAAGTGAAAGCTGCCGGGGTCTTGCTGGGACCTGTTCCCTTTGACCCACGGCACGTCGTTGAGCAAGGCGAGCGGCGACGCCGTGTCGGCTGCTTCACGTGCGCCCGTGACGCTGGCAGCCGAGGGTGTGGAATTGGTGTGATAGAGGGCGTGGATGATGCGATGCGCCGCTGTGGGCGTTGATCGATCACGCTGGCGCCTCTTTCCTGGGGTTCTTGCTGGTGATGACGATGACGATGACGATGTCGCTTCTTCCTGCCGCTGTTGTTGTTGTTGTTGTTGTTGTTGTTGTTGTTGTTGTTGTTGTTGTTGTTGTTGTTGTTGTTGTTGTTGTTGTTGTTGTTGTTGTTGTTGTTGTTGTTGTTGTTGTTGTGTGTTGGCTGGTGTGGCGTCGTCAGCATGTCTCGCCTGGGTTGTGCTGTGACTGCTGTGTGCAACGTCTTGCAGCTTGTGCTCCTGCTGTCTCGGGCGCTTGGTTGGCATCGACGACAATGACGACGCTATGGACGGTGCTGGTGGAGGCGGTGGTGGCGAATCTCTGTGTTGCAGTGTGCTATCTGTCGATGGGTGCGAAGAAGAAGGCGTGGACGAGTGTGGTGAGGGGCGATTTGAGAGCGACTGCTGCTCTCCGCTCATTGCTGTAGCATTGACAGCAGCAATACCGTCACTGCTGGCGCTGTTGTTGTTCGTTGGTGTGGGTGTGGCACCACCGGTGATCCTCTGCGTTGACGCTGGTTCATGGGAGCTTTGGGAAGGTGGCGGCGGTGCTGGTGACGCCACGGCATTGTCAGGTCCCTGCGCTTGCAGCTGCCTTGTGACGTGCCGGTTTATCGATGGGTCATGTGAATTGCTCATGACATGGGCTCAGGACCATTCACGAGCTCTCACTTGGTCTGTGCGTGTGTGTGTGTGTGTGTCGGTGAAAAGATTGTGGTTGAGTGTGTGTGTGTGCGTGTGTGCGTGTGTGTGCGTGAGTGTGTGTGTGAACGTGGATACAGCAGCGGAGCAATGTGCTGTGTGTACAGACGGTTGCAATCACGAAGACACAAGAAAGCTGAAGACAAAGGAAAAGAACGGAGGTGTAGATGGACGGAGGATGGAGGAGACAAGAAGCAAAGACACCACAAGGCGACTCGCGATGTGTGCTGTTCAAGAGAAGCGTCACGGACACAGTTTAGCGCACCACTCACAACTCACTTCCATCCCACGCATGTGCCCATCCAATCAACACGCATTCAAGGACGATAGCAACAGTCCCCAACATGTAAGGGATGCAATCCATGTACCACTGCACACATTATGTGTACACACAACCGTGGACGTGCATGTACTCACCGTTTCAACGTATGATGGCCGGTGTGTGTTGTCTGTGTCGAGTTGGGCCAACGAGGAGCGATGATCTTCCACCGTTCGCTCTGAATATCCAGCAGCACTTCACCGCCTCCTCACAAAACCGGGAGAGAAGAGCCACAGGGCAAGTGCGGGCGTATGTGTGTGCGTGTGTGTGTGTGTGTGTGTGTGTGTGTGTGTGTGCGTGTGTGTGCGTGTGTGTGCGTGTGTGCGCGTGTGTGTGCGTGTGTGTGTGCGTGTGTGTGTGCGTGTGTGTGCGTGTGTGGTTTCGTGGCGCGGGAGGCAAAGCAACCAGTCGCAAGAGAGCCGGGGGAGGGCGGTGTGAGGGAGAAGGACACAGCCCGCACCACGACAAAAGAGGTTACTGCTGCAGTGGGTTTCTTGTGTCCAGCGCGAAGTGGAGATCCGTGTTGAAGGGTGCTGTGAGCCCTGCAACGGCTCCGATTGACTGGCGACTGGTCGACATCCCGCACCCCTCTTGAAACGCAAGACCAAGCAGCAACCCGCCTCGTGGTCGGTGGTGCGGAAAGCGTGTTTCCCTGCCCAACAGTCCTCATCGCCATGCAACTGCTGGCTGGCCGTTTTTCTTGTTTCTTGACAGTCCTTCCAAACGCAAAATTGCCCATGAAGCAACAACATCAAGGAAAGGCAAAATTGACTTTGAAACAAGCTGCCACACGACGAAGCGACAAACGCCAGCAGCGATAGTGGACGACCGCGCGCACACACACAACACCACACACACACCATGGCAAACAACGACGAGTTCTACCTCCGGTACATTGCATTGCGTGTGTGTGCATGCGTGTGTGTGTGTGTGTGTGTGTGTGTGTGTGTGTGTGTGTGTGTGTGTGTGTGTGTGTGTGTGTGTGTGTGTGTGTGTGTGCGTGTGTGTGTGTGTGTGTGTGTGTGTGTGTGTGTGTGTGTGTGTGTGTGTGTGTGTGTGTGTGTGTGCACGCCTGTGCTGGGAGGTGTTGTGCACATCGCATTGCAATAGATTGCGGCAGTCCCTCATGCATGTTCTGTCGTTCTATCGTTGGCTGTGCGACAGGTACTACGTTGGTCACAAGGGCAAGTTTGGCCACGAGTTCCTTGAGTTTGAGTTCTCCCAGGATGGTACGTGTCTCGACGTGCGTTCGCGCGTGCGTGTGTGTGTGTGTGTTTCCACTATGTGCGTGTGTGCAGTGTTGTTGGCAGTTGAGAGATGGTGCGTGGGCGAACGGTTGCGCATCATGGCATCATTGCATGCGCCATCAGCCCATCGTTCCTTCGTTGCCATAACACCCTCCATCGCCCGCCCTTTGTCGTGGCCTTTTGAACCTTACACCTTTCTTTGCACTCTTGCACTCTTCAAGCTCATGCTTACACCACACACACACACACACACAATATCGCACACGCGCACACACACGCGCACACACGCGCACACACAAACCATGCACTTCCATGTATTGGTTTTGCATCCGCACAATAACAGGCAAGCTGCGTTATGCCAACAACTCAGAGTACAAGAACGACACCATGATCCGCAAGGAGGTATGCTGCTTTTGTTGTACTTCTCTGCTGACGTGAGCGTGAGCATGGTTCGTAGATCGAGCGGTTCCCTCTCTCACACGCTTGGTTGGTGGGTCTTCCTTTGGCGTTTGCAGTGCTTTGTGTCACCAGCAGTCCTTGGTGAGCTGAAGAGGATCGTCGAGGACAGCGAGGTTCGCCCACGTGTGTGTGTGTGTGTGCGTGTCTGGTGTGTGTGTGTGTGTGTGTGTGTCTGGTGCGTGTGTGTGAAGTGTGTGTATGTATGTGTATTGCATGTGTGTGTCTGGGGTGTGTAGGGGTGTGTGTGTCTGTGTGTGTGAACAACTTGGCCAAGTGTTCCCATGCGTGTTGCTGCTCGCATGTGCTTCGGCCTCCAATACAGCGGGCCATGTCCTTTCATCAACGTGCTGAACCACCATCGTTATATCCGTCTGTGTTGTTGCGCTATTGTTCAGATCATGAAGGAGGACGACAACCTGTGGCCAGCTGCCGACCGTGTGGGCAAGCAGGTGCGCTGTGTGTGTGTGTGTGTGTGTGTGTGTGTGTGTGTGTGTGTGTGTGTGTGTGTGTGTTAGTGCGTGCGTGTGTTTGTCTGCATGTTTTTTTCTTCTTCCTCGTTCGCTTGAGTTCGCTTGTTCGTTTGGTTGCTTGTTCTCGTGTGTGTGTGTGTGTGAGCGTGACATTGAGCACCCTTGATCTGCATTGCGTTGCGCAGGAGCTGGAGATTGTGTGCGGTGATGATCACATTTCCTTCACAACCTCGAAGATTGGCTCCATGAACGACGTCAACGACAGCAAGTGCGTGATTGCCCCATTTGTGGTTGTTTGTGGGGGGGGGAGGGGTGTGGGGGTGTGCATGTGCCTGTGCATGTGTTCATCTCTGTCTGTGTCCGTCCTTACCCATCTGTCCTTACCCACCTGTCTCCCTTTGCCCTCCACCCTTCCCCATCATCCCTTTCTGTCTGTCTGTCTGTCTGTCTGTCTGTCTATCCCTTTGCCCCGGCTCCTGTCACGCATTCATTTCTTTCCCACTCCCCTTCCTCACCACTGCTGCCATCCCTCCCCCTTCCCCCTTGCGCGACAACTGCAGGGACCCTGAGGGCCTGCGCACGTTCTACTATCTCGTGCAGGATCTCAAGTGCTTTGTCATCAGCCTCATCGGCCTCCACTTCAAGATCAAGCCCATCTCCTAAGCCCAACGGACCCCCTCCCCCCTTTCTTCCTCCCTCGTTGTTGGTTTGGTTTGTCTCGCTCGCCGGCTGGTGCGGCTGGTGCAGCTGGTGCAGCTGTTGCGCACGTGCGACGTGTCAGCATTGCCGTCACCTATGCGTGTGCTTGCTGGTTGTCAGTTGTTGCTCTGTGTATGCGTGTGTCTGTCTGTCTGTGCTGTGCTGTGCTGTGCTGTGTTCGTGATTTGCTCGTGCTGATTGTTGCTGTATCAGTAGTGAGGGTGTGTTGTTGTCTGTGTGCGCGCACCCATTGCAGTGGGCTGTATTCGCTGCACTTCCATTGTGCTGTGCAATGAAATGAGCAAATGAAAGAGATGGAAGATCACAATGGGACCGAGTGCATTTCGCTTTCCACGCGTAGATTGTTGACGCATTCCACACGCCGTTTGTTTATTGTCGGCCAGGTCGCCTTGGGGCACGCGCTAGAACATGGTGTGCTGTGGGAGGCTGTGCTGCGCGTGCATGGGGGTGGGTGGCGAGTCCGTGTGCAGCATGTCCAGAAGCGTTGGTCGCTGGTACCGAGGTCGCTGCTGGCGCGGAGGGGGCGGGTCGCCACCAAACCCAGCATGCCGCCGCTCGCAATGCCGCGGGTCATGCTCTGGGTGCAGGCGGCGGCGGTGGTGGTGGTCGGTGAAGCCATACGGAGCACCGACGCCGTCATTCCCATGGGCATGAGGTTGCTGCTGCCGCTGATCATGTTGATAATGTTGATGTTGATAATGTTCATGCTCATGATGAGGGGGATGGTGATGAGGCGGTATGCGGTACGGATCCGCACTCGTCCGACGCACATCGCCGTCCCATCTCATGTCGGGGGCGTGAAGCGAGCCCGCGTGCTGGCTCCGCCATGAGATCAGTGGCTGCTCAGCGCTGGGCTGCGGGTGTTGTATTGAGTGCTCAGCAAAGAGCGAGTAGGAGGAGGACGACAGATGCGGAGCATACGCGGGCGCAGCAACGGCGTGGCCTTGTCCCTGGCCCTGGCCCCGACTGCGGCTGTGCAGGTGGTGCGGGTGATCTTGAGCGTGGTGGTCGGCGGCGTGTGTGTGCTGCCAGTTGCGGCTGCCGGAGGGAAGGGGGCGGACGATGGTGAGCCCTGGTGAATGAGCGCTGGTGCTCAGGTCCTGTGGGGATGCAAAAGCGTCGCACTGCCCGCTCTCGCCTGCGGTGTGCACAGACGGCCAATCAGACACGATGGCCGGCCCACCCTCCACTTGTGGTTCTGGCACCGACTGTACGGGTTGTGCTGCTGCAATGTGTGTGTGTGTGCGTTTGTCATTCCGTTGTTCATGACCACGCTCAGCGTGAGCGAAGCAGCAGCAACAGCACCGCACACACACACACACACGCACACACACACAGATGGAGTGCATGCACACGCGTCACACAACAGAATGCGCGCATCGCACGGTTGAATCCATGCATCAAACAGTTGATACATGCATCACACGATCATGTACATGCATCACACAATCATATACATGCACACAGTCTCTCTTGCACACGCCCTCAAGGTATGCATGAAAGAGAACACACAAAGGAGACGACGTGGTACACGCACCGGTACTGGAGGCGAGAAGACGCTGCGTGATGACAGGCTGATTTTCGTGCTTGCTCCTTTCAACAGCAAGCGTGAGTAACGCAGACACAGCGCGATGCGCCGAGTCATATCCATACAGTGAATATTCTGTCCACAGCAGTGCGCGTGTGTGCGGTGAAGAATTGAAGATGAGGCCATGGTGTAAGTAGATGCGGAGAAAGAAGCGCGACGCACACAGACACACCACATATGCGCACAACGCGCGCGCGCACACACGCAAGCACACACACAAGTACACACGCAAGTACACACGCACAAACACACGCAAGTACACACGCACAAACACACACACACGCACAGACACACGCAAGTACACACACACAAACACACACACACATACACACACACACACAAGCATGCGCGCTAGTGGAGTAGCAATACCATTCTCGTCGCCGATGAGGGAGCGACGCAGGGCGTCTGAGACAGCCTCCAAGAAGCGAGCAACCCTGTTCGTGCTCTCTGTTGTCGCGCTATCGTCATCTGCGGCTGCAGGTTTGGCTGGTGCAGCCCCCTCCTGCCCTGTTTCCGGCGCAGCGGATGAAATGGGGTGCGGCGCAGGCGTGTCAATGCCAGCTTGCTGCTGGTGCTGTGGTGGGCGTGGTAACGCAGCTGCAAGCCGGACGTCAATTGCGGACTGTGCCGCAAGCAAGTGCTGGGAGTGCAGCTGCTGCCGTGCGCCTCGGTGGTCAGAGCTGCCATCTCCTTTCAGCAGACATGTTGACGACGCCTTCATGTGATCTGTGATGCCACGGCGCCCAATCGTCAGCCGCTTCGCTGTCACCTTCCCAGCGGCAGTTGCCTTTCGGTGCTGCATGCTGCTGTGTTGTGTATGTGTGTGTGTGCGTGTGTGTGTGTGTGTGTGAGTGAGTATGTGAGTATGTGCGTGCGTATGTGTGCATGTGTGAGTATGTGCGTGCGTGTGTGTGCATGTGTATGTGCGTGCGTGTGGGTGTGCGTGTGTTTAGGTTTGTGTGCATGCGTTTTGGCCCGTGTGTGAGTGAAAACAAATGGGTGTGAATTGTGTGTGTGTGTGTGCATTTGTATGAAGATGAGTGCACGCGCGCGTGAACGACAGGTGCTGTCAGACAGGGCTCATTGCGGTTGAAAATAGGTGGCTACCTGGACGACTGCGCTGCGACGGGGGCGACGAAGATGTGCCGGGCGGGCGCGGCGTGGTGGTGTCGTGGACGGTAGCTGGATTGGCTGTGCCTGGACGTGTGTGCATGACGAAGGGGTGCTCCATGGACGCTCTGCTGTGATGAGTGGTGTTCGGTGGGGTGCACTTCGTCCTGTTGAGAGTCACGATGCGAGCGCGGACGACGACGCCTGCGACGGCGACGAGATGTGGTCTCAAACCCTGACGCATGGTGACGCCGACCACTCTGCGAACTGCCTGAATCGTCCTGCTGCGACTCGCGTCGCTTGTTGCGTCGAGGTCGTAGCCGTCCTCGCCAGCGTCGAAGCCCTTGATCTGTCTCCTGTCAACATCGTTCACCGAATTACGTTTGTTGGTGTCCGCGCGGGGTGGAGGCAACACACGGTCAACGCACATCCGGTCACAAGCATTGCTGTTGTGGTACGCAGTTGTGCCAGACAAGTGTGCGCAGCTGTCTCCGTCTCACTGCACCAAAAAACACACACATGGACACACACACACACATGGACACACACACACATGGACACACACACACACACACATGGACACACACACACACATGGACACACACACACATGGACACACACACACACACACACACACACACACACACACACACACACACACACACACACACACACACACGGACGGCAAGTGGGGTTGGCGCCAAAGCGGGAAGGCATTGTGCAACGCACATCCGACGTAACGTGGCGGTTACCTTGTTTTCCTCATTGGACTCTTTCCCTTGATCCTTGGTGCCTCTGTGGTGGGATGCGGCCGTACTCTTGGTGGTGGAGGAGCGCCCAGGATATGGATCAAGGAGCGGAGCAAATGCTTCCCTGTCAACGCCGTCATCCAGTGCAGGGGACGGCACAGCCCCGACATACCGTCGTCGCCCTAAAACAGGAACACAGACACGGAGGCGGTTGAATGACCACATGATGACATGACCACATAAGCGCGGGCAGAAGCCCTGTGCTGCTGTATTGCCTAGAGCGTCCACGCCAAGCACAAGCAGGCTGGAAACAATCGTTGCACACGAGCAAGCAGCATGTTATCAATTTGTCTCAAGAGCGCACACACACG